TATAAATTATTTCGTTATTGTACATAAATTAAATTATAAAAATTGAATTAAAAAATTACACAAAAAAATGATGAATTTCAAATAGTTAATTTAATACTAATATCGATATTTTTTTGTTAAATTTTTATGATATCTTCAAACATATATTTTATTCAAAAATAAAAACATAATCGCTTTATCAAAATCACATAACATCATATTATAACATCGATTGAGATAAAAAAATAAAATAAAATATGAAAATCACGATGTATCTCGTTAAATTACGTGAGTACGCTTTTAGTATATATATAAAGTAATTTATAAATAATATATAATAAATTAATATAATAATAATGTAATAACTGTAATATATAAAATCAAAAATATAAAATAATAAAATAACATAAGAATAATTTAATATTTTTCTAATATAAATATATAAAATAAAACATAATTAATAAAATATAAATATATAATTAATTAAATTAATATTTATTAAAATAAATGATTGGTTCAATTTCCAAATAATAATACACCTATCAACGTGTCATTAACACTCCCTTTTTGTTTTTTTTTATTCAAAAGTTGACCCAACTTATGCCAGGTTTTATCTCCAAAACGAATATTTTAATCCATTTCTTTATGAGGACCCAACTATATCCATTTCTGTAACGGTTCTTTGACACGTGGCAAAATATATCATGAGTGGCAGAACATTCTAGCACCACCGCTGCTGCTTCTCGCACCTTCTCCTGGTCCTCCTTCACATCCTATAAATCCCCCACCACCAACACAGTACACACCGTTATTTTATACAACAGCAAATCAAAAGACCGATGAAGCCGATAGACGAGAAGAAGGAAAAGGTGGTGTTTCGAGCGGTGAGCGCCGACGAAGAAGGCCGGAAACGAGTGGAGAAGACGGAAGTGGAAACCCACAACCTGGATACTCTGAAACACATAGAGAAGAAGCTGATCGATAAGGGTTTGCACCGCCTTGACCGCCACCCACGCGACGGAGCTCCGATCGACAAGCAACCGAAAGGCGGGCGTGGAGGCAAGTATACATGGGATGGTCCTGGTGGAATGGTGTCGGACGAACTGGACCCTGTTCCGGCGGCAGTGGACGAGAAGGATCCCAACTATGAAAGTGATGATGATGAGGAGGAGAAGGTGGTGGGGAGAGGCGGCGGTAGGTTGATGATAGGGAGGGTGGAGGTGGAGGTGGGGAAGGGGAAGGTGGCGGAGGAAAGGAGATTGGGATCCAAATCCAGTTGAAGGTTGAGGTGTTTAGAGGTTAAAAAGAGAGAGAGAGGGTTTGGTAGTGAAAACATGAAGTTGTATGGATGTTGGTGGGTGATGTTAATTAATTGAAAACTTTGTGTTAAAGAATAATCTGGCTATCCATTTCTTTTTTGAACATAGGGGTTGGTTCTCTTAAGGAGTTATTTTTATTGCATAAGAATTAATGTTGGAGAATATATAAAGTCAAACAAAGTCCAAGACAGAAGTATCTTAAAATCGTATGTTTCGCTTCTCTTGCCAGATTGATAGTCGATATATATAAGTAGGTAAGTGAGAAGTATATCAAGGTATTTGGTCTCTTCATCACTTTGTGTTTTAAGAAATTAAACGATTTAGGGTTGGTTTACCAAATGCTTAATTGGATAAGTGGACATTAAGTCACATTATTTTATCGGATGAATATGGTATGGACCAATAATCTTACCCGATAAAGCGAGACAAGTACCAAGAGTCTTATCTGACAAGTAAGGATGAAGACTATTACTATGGTAAGTGCTTATCGGGTAAATTTTATATACGATATTGTTTTAGTGGATTAAAATTTTATCCGATAAGTAAATTATAGTATTAAATTTTACGGCTAAATGCTTACCGGGTAAGTGTTTGGTAAATGACCCACTCTCGTTAGAGTCTAATAAAATGAGAACTGTAATTAAATGGGAACTGTTTTATTTATGGTAATAATGAGATTCAATTTCAATCATAAATTAAAGGTCGAATTAGAAAATTAATAATTTTGGTAATTTTAACTTAAAATATTAATTAAGGGTATTTCAAATATTTTATAAATATCCACTCTTATGTCTCCTCTTTTATCCCTCCAACAAATCTCAATCGGTGATTCTTATCTCGATGTATCTTATGTGGACAAGATATTGTGATGTCTACAAACGATATTTATTGTGATACCCAAATATACATATAAGATGGACAATGTGATATCTTTTGTGAAGCAGTGAAAATAACAAAAATACATATTATGATACATTTCATAAAACAAAGAAAATACATCATGATACACATGAAACGTTATGAATGTTATTATTATGATATGCTTTAATTCACGAACGTCTTCTAAAATACGATGTATATTAGGTAATTGTATACTAGGTAACTAATTTTAATTAAATATTTCATTCTAAAAATTTTAATTAATTTTTTTTATTACTTGTCGAAAATAAAATTGCTATATTGCTCTTTTAGCTTATTATAAAATATCTTTACATATCTCAAACAAGTGGTTTACACTGGATTTTACGGTTACCAAAAACTAATCAGTTTTTCTTTGAATGAACATATATATATACATATATATATATACATACATATATATACATATATATATATATATACATACATATATATATATATATATATACATATATACATACATATATAGATATATAGATGTATGTATATATATATGTATTAGGTTCGTCCTCGTGTATTACACGGGGTATTTTAAATGCGAAAAACTCTGGACATTAACTCTGGAACACAAGAATTCAGAATTCTATTGTTAGGCTGGAAAATAACTCTGGACCTAATTCTCAATAAGAGGAATTCAGAGTTGTCTTCTAAGTCTAGAAAGTATCTACGAGCATAACTCTGAGTCACAAGAATTTTGACTTCTTATAACTCAGAAACATAACTCTGAAGAGGAGTTCAGAGTTGTATTCTAAGTCTGAGAATAAACTATATAACCAAGTTTGGAACAGAATAATTCAGAGTTATGTTGTAAGTTTGAGAAATAACCAATATCTAATAACTTCATGTTGATGATTTGTATCACTAATGTCATTTTAAGTGTAATGAGATTAAATTGTTGACCAATGTAATCATGATAAATATCAAATARGTAAGGAAGGTGCGGAGTGCACACTTGTTTGAGTTTAATTTGATTTAGGGGCAAAGCTCCTAAATGACGGGGGTCCGGGGGCAGCGCCCCCGGTGGCGGGGTCCAAGGCGCAGAGCCCCTGGCTGGGCAGGTCAGCTTGGAATTTTTTTTTTCCGGGTTATATTGTTTTGTGAAAAATGCTTCAAAAATCTGAATTAGAAATTTTAAATAAGATTTTGATGACCACTACAGAGTTAAATTCAGACTTACAACTCTGAATTTTTCCAGAATTCTCATGCAGAAGACATCAAGAGATAGAGCTCTTACTCAAGAGTTAAGTGTCTCATATACAGAGCCCGTGTTGTATTCCAAGGAAGATCAAGGCTTAAACGCCAAAAAGGTTAAGGTGCTTGACTCTGTATAGTACATGCAGAGCTTCACTCCAGATGTAGAGCCTCTTCATAGTACATGCAGAGCCTAGTACATGCAGAGCCTCTGCATAGTACATGCAGAGCCTTTGCATAGTACATGCAGAGCTGCTTCTAAATCTAGAGGCGAAATCGTTGGACGGATCTCTAAATCTGGAAAGGAGCACTCCAGATTTTGGAACTCTGAACCGCCAATTACTCTGCGAAGGCGGTTATACCACGAATACATGAAATTAACCGCCCGAAGGGACACATGTCAATTAAATAGACCTATTTGAACCGTAAGTGAAAATTGTGTCTAGATACATGTTTTAGGCGGGAAAAATTAATAACCGCCGCACAGAAACATGACACGTGTCCCAAAAGTTACTTATTTTAGGGTTATATATATACACACACACACACACACACATTAATTTGTACAACCAATGCAACCTAATCAATTTGAGATATTTATAAAAATGATGAGAGTTCATTTATTATGATTTGAATATTTATAAAAATGATTAGGGTTCATTAATTATGATCAATACTTTATATTATGAAATAATGAAAACTTTTATCAAATTACATATTCTTCAAATTAAACGGACGGTTGAGATTGAGTTGTAGTGGTTTTACAAATATAAACGGTTGTATAATAACACATATATATATATAATATATATACATATATATATATATATAAAATATATATATATATATACATACATATATATATATATATATATAGGGGTGGGTTCAAATAAAAACCACTCAATTTGTAAAAACCGTGAAAACTTCATTCAACCAATCATAATTTTTCATTTTGTTCATATTTTTTTTTGTAATTATGAGAGGTTGATTAATCATTTTTATTGTGGAATGTGTTAAGCATGGATATTATCATCTTCATTATTTTAATTTTAGAGAAATACATGAAACAATTTCATTAAAATTTCATTAAATATTATATGAAACAATTTCATAACCATATATGAAACAAATTCATCAAAAAAAATATTATATGAAACAATTTCACAAGATTAAACAATTTCATGAAATTTTTTTATAAGATTAAACAATGAAATTGACGTATAAGGGTGGTTTGTATTGTTTTTACAAATGAGTGTGGTTTTCATTTGATCGCTCATCTCTCTCTCTCTCTCTCTATATATATATATATATATATATATAAGGTTGAGTTCACGTGAGACCAAAGGTTTTTCGTGAGACCCGTAAGACCAATTCTCAACCCTTGGGATCATGTGAGACTAAGAGCTTTTCGTGAGACCCGTAAGACCAATTCTCAACCCTTGGATTAGATCTATAATTTGACAATATGAACATCTATAAACGCCACGAGACTTCTCAATAATCACAAAATTGCGACCGTGCAACTTTAAACCATCAGATCATTTGCTTATAAAGTTGATCAATGAACATAGATTGGTCTTAAGGGTCTCACGAAAAACCATGGGTCTCACGTGAACCTAAACCCTATATATATATATATATATAGAGAGAGAGAGAGAGAGAGAGAGAAACGATCAAATGAAAACCACTCCAATTTGTAAAAACCGTGCAAACTACCTTCATCCGTCGATTTCATTATTTAATCTTATGAAATTTTTTCATGAAATTGTTTCATATAATACTATTTTTTGATGAAGTTGTTTCATATATGGTTATAAAATTGTTTCATATACTACTTAATGAAATTTTAATGAAACTATTTCATATATTTCTCAAAAATTAAAATAACGAAGATGATAATATTCATGATTAACACCCTCCACAATAAAAATGATTAATCAATCTCTCATAATTACAAAAAAAAATGAACAAAATGAAAAAGTATGATTGGTTGAATGAGGTTTTTACGGTTTTTAGAAATTGAGTGATTTTTATTTGATCGCTCCTATATATATATATATATATATATATACGTATATATGATTGGTTATGTTCATGTGAGACCAGACTGTTTTCGTGAGATCCGTAAGACCACATTCTTACACTTGAAACTTCACAGCAAAAACACTGTGAAAGTTTAAGTCGAACCTTCACAGCATTTTGCTGTGAAGTTTCGAGTGTAAAAAACTGGTCTCACGGGTCTCACGAAAACAGGCTGGTCTCAGAGAGAGAGAAGAGCGATCAAATAAAAACCGCCTCCATTTGTGTAAACCAATCTCACCCATCCATTTTCTTGATCAATGGTTAAGATTAATCAAGGTTATTTAAGGAAGTTAAAAAAAATTTGAAAATACATTTTATAATACCGATACGGGCAAAAAGGTAAAACCAAATATTCATTTATTCAAGGAAACCATATCATGTATATCATATTATTAATGAAACAAATCTATTTTTTGTAAGGTAATTTATTATTTTACGTTAACATTTATTATTATTAATGAAACTAATTTATTTTTCATCTTGCAATTATTTCATGACGAACCGCCTACATTATGCACCCATTTCATTTTTCATTTCATCTACTGAATGGATCACCTACACCATCAGTGAAACGGGTTTCACCATGAAAGCAGTTCACCACTCATTGTTCAATTACACCATGAACCAGTTTCACCTTCATGAAACATGTTTCATGTAAATTAATTTTTTTATTTCACTCATGATTTGATGCATTCTTTCCTTTACTCCTTACAATCTTCAAGATTCTCGAGCAGATTACAATCTTCAAGATCCCGATACAGATTCATCAT